TCAAATATTATAGAGGTTTCAAAGTGGATAATATAGAAACCAAAATTCTTGTTCAAATGCTCAAAAAATTGAAAAAGATATGTGATGAATATAATGAATAACAGGAATTTGGGGGTAGCAAGCGTGGGAGACGAGATCACGTTGATACGATTGGAGATGAATTGGAGAATTTAATTGGATTGAAAGGGTATTTGAGTCTTTTCATGATAGGGATATTTTAGACCTTTTATACCTTTTATTTATTGTATTAGTAAGGTCATTTGACCTATAAACATTGAGAATGAGCTTTTTTTTCAACTATATTGCTTGACTATGCCTTTTAACAAAGAGTCCCTTGTGTATTAACACATTTAATGGGCCCCCCAAATTATAAGAAAGCTATTTTTTTTTGGGCCAAATATGCCTTGAGCCATTTTCAGTGTCTTTAAAGTTTAAGCTCTCTTGAATCAAGATTTGCAAAGATTCTAATAGAATTACTTGATTCTTTTGTTGACATGTAATCTAAACCTAAATCAATCGACACTAAAAATAGAAATACATAAGACCTTTTTCCCATTGTTTTTCAACTTTTCATGGGAATGACTCGAAAAAATAGCCTATTTTCATTCTCCTTCAAGCACATTACATCCACATTTCAAAAATTATATCTTCTCATAATAATGGGATCTCCAATCACGTGTCCTCCACAGCTATACACAGAAATCCCATTGTTTGCTGATATAACATCAGTTTCATTTTGACAAAACAAAAAAGAACAGAATTTTGCCTTGTCTAATGTTTCTGTTTTCATCCTCCAAAATTCAGTTTCGAGAAAATTAAGAATGTCTACGTTCACAGGAACTTTGGATAAATGCAAGGCTTGTGACAAGACTGTTTATTTTGTTGATTTGTTGTCTGCTGATGGAACAACTTATCATAAATCATGCTTCAAGTGCAGCCATTGCAAAGGAACTCTTGTGGTATATATATATAATATATATTCTCTCTTCACCCCCTTTAAATGTTTTCGATTCAGGTTCAAGAAAAGTCATTTTTAACAATGATCGTCATGTAACGTTATTTTTTGTTCGTAGTTCATATGTTTTTCTCTCAATTAAATTTTCGTAAACTATAGTTTATATTAGTTCTATGTAAGTTTTAATGGGAGCTAGCTTTGGATCCAATATTTCATCAGCTTTTGATGATCGTTTTAGCAAAATAATTTCAAAATTTGACAAAATTATGTTTCATATAGATATTTAGTGTTAAAGAAAAGCCATTTTTAACGATGGTTGTTGAATCTTCATATAAAATTCGTCTCGAGTCATTTTTTTTTACCAATACGTAATTTTGCGATTTTCCCTTGGTTAACCCCCACCCCTTTTTTTTAAATAATAATAATAACAAGACGGAGCTTTGGTGAAAGGAAAAAATAAAATAAAATCTTTTGGAGATATTTATGTAAAATTTTTCTTTTATTTGATTTAGCTAAAAAGTTGATAAAAATTTAAGTCAAAACGTTGTTATTTTTTTTATTTCACGAATCCAAGTAATTTTGGGTGTTTAATATTGATTTTGCAGATGAGCAACTACTCCTCCATGGATGGGATTCTATATTGCAAGCCACATTTTGAACAACTTTTCAAGGAATCTGGAAATTTTAGCAAAAATTTTCAAACTTGTGAGGAACCTTAATAATCACTAAATTATGTAGGACTTTCTTACCATTAGTTTTACTATTTTTCTAATTATTCTTTTTGTTGTTGGATTATTGTTTAAGCAGCAAAGCATGAGAGGGAAAATTCACTGGTATGTTCATGAATTAATTTCTAATGAAAAATGATTTGTTGGCTATTTTCAAAACCTAATTTTCAAGTTTTACTACTCGAAAAATCTATTTCATTTTCTTTTTGGCTGTCAATAAAAAAATTCAGACCTTGTTTACCTCTTGTTTACAGTTCGTGAAATCACTTTTTATTTATATATTTCGTGAATTCATAAGTAGTACTCACTTATTTACCACTAATTTTTATTTATAATTTAAAATGATTATACAATTTCCACGACAAATAAAGTCAATCTAACCTTTTTTGTGAGTATTATTCGTTATTTACGTAGACAAGGGCACCGAGTAAGGTCTCGACCATGTTCTCTGGAACCCAAGATAAATGTGCTGCTTGTAACAAAATCGTGTACCCACTTGAGAAGGTTCGTGACGTTGATTACGTGCTCAAGATACATGTTATAACTTAGGCTATTGGATAAAGTATTTATTCTATTGTTATACATAGCTTGTAACATACAATATGCACGAGCGCCCTCCCACGCGCGCACAACCACGAATACATACTCATGAAATTGATAAAGATAAATTCCATTATCTACAAATTGTATTTTCTAACCATTTTTTCTTGAAATTGTACACACCAAACAGATGGCAATGGAGGGAGAATCATACCACAAGTCGTGCTTCAAGTGTGCTCATGGTGGCTGTCCACTTACACATTCATCATATGCTGCTCTTGATGGAATTTTATACTGCAAGCACCATTTCCAGCAGCTCTTCATGGAGAAAGGAAACTACCAACACATCAAATCTGCTCATAAGAGAAGTGGCAGTAATGCGGAAGCTGTCGATGTCACTGAGGCGGAGGCGGGGGCGGAGGCCAGGGAGGAGGAGCTTCCAAAGGAGGCTGTGGCAGACACTGAACCAGAAGAAGCTGATAAAGCAGAAAAACAATCTTAAGTGCATGTTAAATACTAGGTAGGACAAAGACACTATAATAAATAAGGTGTTAGCCTATTTTTGTTCCTTCAAGAAGAAAAAGATAGATTCAGTGTGTTTTTTGATAATGGTTTCCTATACTTATACATCAAGTTTAACAGAAATGATGTTTACAGAAATGATGTTTACAGAAGAAAAAGGTGTTAGCTTATTTACAGAAATGATGTTTACAGAAATATTGAATAAGGTAAAATTACATTGTGTCCATAATCACGTTTTGTACATATAATTCTCATAATTGATTTTCCCAAATATAGCCGTTGTCCAAATATAGCTGCTTAATCACCGTTAGTCTCTTTACCCTCCCTCAAGCTTAACGGAGCAATGCGGAGATTGAGCTTGGACCGTAGGAATTGAAACCTATCACGAGAGAGGCCTTTAGTAAAGAAATCAGCAAGTTGGTGAGAAGATGGGACATAGCGTGTAAAGAGAGCTTTGCGAGCGACGAGCTCCCGAACGAAATGATAATCAATGTCAATGTGGCGAGTTCTAGCATGGAACGCCAGATTGGTAGCCAAGTGAATGGCCGAGACATTATCGACAAATATGCAGGGAGCAGATGAGATTGAAATGCCAAGTTCACGAAATGGATAACCGAACCAACGAAGTTCCGCAGCTGTATAAGCAAGGGCTCGATATTCAGCTTCCGTACTGGAGCGAGAGACGGTTGTCTGTTTCTTAGCCGTCCATGTAAGAAGATTAGGCCCGAGAAAAATGTACGTCCTAGTCGTAGACCTACGATCATCAACTGAGCCAGCCCAATCGGAGTTGGAGAACCTATGTAGAGAGAGGTCATAAGAGCGATGAAACATAAGGCCATGGTCTATAGTACCTTTCACGTAACGAAAAATGCGTTTGACAACTTGTAAATGAGTGGTACGGGGACTATGCATGAATTGGCAAACTTGGTTGACCGCAAACGAAATATCAGGGCGAGAGAAAGTAAGATACTGAAGACCACCAACCATGCTCCGATAAAGAGTAGGGTCGGAAAGGGGGTTGCCGTCGGTGCAAGAAAGTCTAGTGTCCGATGGAAGTGGAGTGGGGCAAGGTTTACACTCTGTCATATTAAATCGCTTGAGGAGATCAATTGCATACCTTGTTTGAGCCAAGAAAAGTGAGGAAGATGTGCGGGATATTTCCATACCAAGGAAGAACGAGAGATCACCCATCCGACGATTGTTAAAGGTGGAACACAAGAGATTCAAAAAGGTGTCGATATCCTGAACCGCAGAGCCAGTGACAATAATGTCATCAACGTATACAATAGTGAAGATGGAACCAGCTGGGGAGTGTGAGTAAAATAAAGAAGCGTCAGAACGGCTATGAATGAACTGATGGTCCAATAAGAAAGAGCGAAGACGTTGAAACCAAGCACGAGGTGCCTTTTTAAGACCGTAGAGAGCCTTATGAAGACGGCAAACATGGTGAGGTCGAGAGGGATCGTGGTAACCCGGGGGTTGTTTCATGTAGACCTCTTCTTATAGGACCCCGTTTAAAAAGGCATTACGAACATCAAGTTGTTGGAGGGGCCACTCAAAAGAAATAGCAAGGGTAAGGATGGTGCGAATCATAGCTGGTTTGACCACTGGACTAAATGTTTCGTCAAAATCAAGACCTTCCTTTTGATTAAATCCCTTGGCCACAAGACGTGCTTTGTAACGATCAATGGACCTGTCCGATTTATGTTTCACTTTAAACACCCATTTACAGCCGACAATGTTCATAGAAGGGGAGGCTGGAAATAGTGTCCATGTGTTATTACGCATGAGAGCATCATACTCATCATTCATAGCTCATTCATAGCTGACTTCCAATGAGTATATCGAGAAGCAACTGTAAAGCTGGTAGGTTTATGATTTAAGGGATCAGATAATAGTGCGGATAGTGCATGGGGTAAGGGGTGAGGACTGGTTTGAGAGTAGAGGGAGGAGAGGGAGTGAAACTTTTTTGGAGGGTTTGGGGAGTCGGGTGAGGAGAAGGGAGAAGCATGAGTATGTTCTGGTCGTGTCCGGAGGGAGAGATCTGGGCTGGTGTCATTATGTGTAAGGGTAAGCTGGGAATTTGAGCTGATAAGAGGTGAAAGCGAGTGCATGGAAGATGAAGGCCCATGAGTGGAAGAGGAAAGCTTACTAGAAGTATCTATTGGGCTCAATAAGGGAGAAGAATTGGTCTGAATGGCAGACGGGCTAGCGGTCGGGGAATGAATATCATGAGGGCCAATTAAATTCGCACTCGATGCAGTGGGAGAGTTGGGACCAGTGGGCACAGAAGTTGCGCCATGAAGTGAATTTGTAGCAAATGGAAATGTTGTTTCGTCAAAAATAACATTTCATGAAATATAGACCCGACCGCTTGTCATGTCAAGGCAACGATATCCCTTGTAGTGAGCCTCGTATCCAAGAAAGACGCAAGGTATGGATTTAATGCAAGTTTATGTTTGTTGTATGGTACTAAATGAGGAAAGCATGCACATCCGAAACTCTTAAGGATAGTATAATCCGGGACCCGAGAAAAAAGCCGTTCAAATGGAAACTTGGAGCCGAGAAGAGGTGTCGGCAAGCGATTAATCAAGAATACTACAGTAGAGAAGACTTCTACCCAAAATTTAAGCGGAAGATGAGATTGGGCCAAGAGACAAAGGCCCATACTCACAATGTGGCGGTGTTTCGTTCCACCACTCCGTTTTGTTGAGGGGTGTGAGGGCAAGAAATTTGATAAGAAATCCCATGATCGCGAAGAAAATAGATAAAAAGATTGCTTGTAAATTTACCGCCACCATCAATTTGAATTTGTTTAACAGTAGATTTAAACCGATTTTCGACCATTTTAGTAAATGTAATGAATGTGGAGAGGGCCTCAGATTTTTGTCCCAACGGATAGAGCCAAGTGAATCGGGTGTGATCATCAACAGTCGATAAATAGTAACGAAATCCATGATGTGATGCAATATGTGAGGGACCCCATAAATCAAGGTGTAATAAATCCAATGGAGATTGTGCATGGAAATTATGATAGTAAAAAGGGTGTTGACAAGATTTTCCCAACGGACAAATATGACAATTCTTGAAAGATTTAATTGTACCACGAACAGGTAAATTGCATGTATGCAACAAAATATTAAGGATAGATTGTACAGGGTGACCAAGACGGGTATGCCAAACATGTGGAGTCATGCGAGCACCATAGAAAGCCATGTGATTGGTGGTGGGTGGAGGTAGTTGAATATGATAGAGTCCATCCGAGCTATTCCTAGTAAGAAGGATACTCCCTATCTTGTTGTCCTTTACACGAAATCCATTAGTATCAAATTCAAGAAAGCAATCATTATCACGGCAAAGACGACGAATGGATATTAAATTTTTCCGAATGGCAGGAACACATAAAACCTCGTTAAGATTTAATAATTTCTTGGATCCAGTTAATTTTGCATTACTAATATGAGTAGTTTTTAGTTCATTTCCATTACCAA